ACATACATACATACATACATACATACATACATACATACATACATCATTGAAGAATTGCAAAGTTACCACCAAAAAACTAGGAACTTACTTCCATTGGTTCCTATTTGCTTGGGTCTTGCTATTTCACTGGGACCACCTTGTCTAGGTTTTTTGCCCTTCCCCAACCATGGCTCTTCTCCTTTTTCCAACTTGGAGATCATGTCTGGTTTGAGAGCTTGATAACCTGCTCATGAGAAATGGTACAAATTGAGTGTTAGGAAAACAAACATCCCAGAAATCAAACGCTAATATTTGGACTTCAGAGCCTTGAAAGAATTAAGAATATACGGCTTCTGAAATTTCACAATGGCTGCCCATGTACCCTATCCAAGGAGACCCTCCATTTTGGAGACAGGGGCACAGTATCTTGAGTTGTACCCAAAAGGGATCACAACTCTTTGATTCATAATAACCATGGCCAAATTTATCAAGAACTTCAGAGAGAAGGTATCACCATGCACACATTTTGAATTATGAAAGAACTGTCCTTACCCATTGAGGCAAGGTTGCTGTAGTTCTCCAGCATCACATCCTTATACAGGTTCCTCTGGACAGGATCTAGTTGCTCCCATTCCTTCTGGGTAAAAGCCATAGTCACATCTTTGAATGTTACTGATCCCTGTAATAGCAATACTTCTATTCAGTCTAATGTTATTCACATTAGTGAGTGATTTGGACAAGATAATAATGATTTGTTCTTAGCTCAACCATTCAATTTGATCATGATGTTATAGTGGATACTAATTCTTTACTCAATTACGCATTTTTTGAGAGGCAAAAATCATATTAAGAAATGTCCCTATTATGGACTGAATGTTTGAGTATCCCCAAAATTCATACGCTGAAACCCTCCCCTCCAATGTGATGGTATTAGGAGATAGGGCCTGCAGGAAGTAATTAGAATGGGATGAGTTCATGAGGGTGGAGTCTCCATGAATAGGATTAATGCCCATATAAGAGTCACAAGACAGCTTGCTTCCTCTCTCTGCTCCTTCTGCCAAGTGAGGGTACAAGAAGTCTGCAACCTGGCAGTTGGTCTCACCAGATTCCAACCAGGCTCACACCCTATCTTGGACTTCTTGCCTCCAGAACTGACAGCAGTAAATTTCCGCTGTTTATAAGCTACTCAGTTGATGGTACTTCATTGTAGCAGCCCAAACTGACTAAAACAGTCCCACTTGTGAATTTGTTTATTCAAGAGGATAAAGAGTGAAAAAAGTCATACAATTATCAGAGTGAAAGACAATTACCAAAACAAACAGAATCAGTCTTTACCTTTTCTTCTATAACAAAAAACAGTGGAATAGTGTTTATGAGGTAGAAGAATTGAGATCCTTGATTTTTAGAACCAGCCAAAAAATCACCTATATTTGGAAGCAAAAGTAATGTATTTTAGGCATGTAAGGATGCAGAAAATATAATACGTATATATTTTAGAAATAAAGAAAAGGAGAGGGACAGGGAAGGAGGAGGAGGAGAAGAAAAGGAGTGATTTTTAAAAGAAGGAAAAGTGAATCAGAATAAAGATTTCAAGATTGGGAAGGACATAATGTACAAGAAAGAGCTGTGAATAATAAAACCAGTCAAATGTCTAGTTACATCCAAGTAACTTGATAATCTTCTTGTACAACTGTTACAAGTCATTAAAATCAAGAGTCGTGACTTAGGGGCACCTGGGTGGCTCAGTCGGTTAAGTGTCTGACTTTGGCTCAGGTCATGATCTCGCCGTCCATGAGTTCAAGCCCCGTATCAGGCTCTGTGCTGACAGCTCGGAGCTTGGAGCCTGCTTAGGATTCTGTGTCTCCCTCGCTCTCTGCCCCTCCCCCACTCGTGCTCTGTCTCTCAGAAATAAATAAACGTTAAAAAATTAAAAAAAAAAAAAAAGAGGCGTGACTTAAGAAAATAAACAGGAATATAACTGGTAAGGGTGGGGGATGGGGAGAAATTAAAGCATGTTTAAGATCTCTTATTAGGCAGGTGAGAGGAGGAGACACAGCTACTGGAGAAGTTTGCCACTAATGAATACACGCTTGAACAGATTTGTTTCACATTGAAAAATAACTCCCTACCTCCATAGACCACCAATCAATTAGCTGTGTATGTCACCAATCTCTGACCTGACAAACCTCCAGTCATGGACATCTAAGAAGTCCCATCATTGACTGTCACTGGCCTCTCAATCACTGAGAGACTGATCCCAACAAAGTCCCCTATCAGTAACAGCAACAAATCTCCCCAGACGCCCCCACACACTCCAATCACAAAATCCCACAGGTCTCTCAACTATGGATACCTAAAGAACACATCAGTCTCTTCTCTGATGCAACCCCAAATCCCGACTCTACCAGTCTCCAATCACTGACGCCAACAGACCTCCACCAACAGTGGCGTTTACAGAAACCCGAATCAGTACCAGCCAACTTCACTATACCTTCAATCTCTTTAGCCATTCCCTTCACCTGCTTGCTTTGCCTGAAATCTACCTTCTCCTGAGGATCCTGCTCCCTTACAACGCTCCCTGCTGGAGGTTATTTGGTTTGGCCCAACCATCACTCGTGTATGTCACGGCCTGAAGATGCGGTCAACGATAACTTTCAACTATTCTTCATTCATCCTTCAAAATCCCTATCATGTTTAGAGTATCACCAGACTTCAACCCATTAACCCTCCATTTCAACGATTAACTAGAAGAACTCACAGCCTCGCCATATAGTTGTACTCAGAGCTACGATGTAGTACAGCTAAGGAAAAGGTGCATGGGGTGAAGTCTAGAGGAAGCCAGGCACAAGTATCCAAGAGTCCTCTTCCAGTGGAGTCACACAGGACACACATGATTCCTCCAGAAATAAATCGTGAGAACACGTGTGAAATGGTGTTTCCCAAGGAAGTGCCGTAGAGACTCAGTGGCGCTCACGGGCACCCTCTGCCTGGCACACACAAAAGTCCCAGATCCCCAGAAGGAAATCAGGAGTTCAGCATAAACCGCATTGTTTACATCGTTTAGTTAATTAAATGTTTTATTTATTTTTGAGACAGAAAGAGACAGTGGGCGGGAGGAGGGGAGGGGCAGAGAGAGACACACACACAGAATCTGAAGCAGGCTCCAGGCTCAGAGCTGTCAGCACAGAGCCCGACGCGGGGCTCAAACTCATGGATTGTGAGATCATGACCTGAGCCGAAGTCGGACGCTTAACCAATGGAGCCACCCGGGCGCCCCTACATAGTTTAGTTCAGGCACGGGGAGCCACTTTTATCATTTCTGGGAATGGTGCAAAGCCTACTGCAGTCTAAGTTCTCAGATGTCAGCCAAAGGTCAACCTTGCAAGCAGGCTTTTCTAAGGACAGCTGTTAGGGGCCACTTATGTCAACTCTTCCGCACAGTAATTCTGCCTCATTCACTGCAAACCTGAACACCAGCCTCCTCTTCCCTACAGCTCCTCCACTAACTGCATCAATGCAGAAGAGCCCTTCCACACCCTGGCCTTTCTCTTTCCTGACTCCAACAATCTTTTCTTCTACCCAAACTCAGCCACTGATTCGTCACCCAGGCATTCTTTAGACCCTTGCCACATACATTACAGCACCTCTACTTACAACACTGAAATCTCTACTTAAAACACTGTCCTGCCAGCTTACTTCTTCTAGTACCTTCCATGTCAATATTTCTCCAAATACATTCGGCCCTCATACCCATCGATCCTAGCCATTTTTTCACAATCTTCCATTGCCACGCAGCCTTACTTTTCACCTGTCCCGTTTAGATTTAGTTCTAACACCATACACACTCCACGGAAAACAGCTTTCACTTCCTTGCCCCTCTTCTTCTCCACTGTACTTCCCTAGCAAAGCCTCAAACTTAAACCCAACTTAATCTCTGCCTGCAACCTTGCAGTTAAACACTCCAAAAGAAAAAAGTCAAACAACTGTGCTGCCTGGACTCACTTCAAATTACTGCACATATCTCAAATGGGCACCCAATACTGAGAGCTTCCTGTTCCTCTTTCCAAGATGATTATTCCAAACATTCTCCGCTTTCTCTCTGAAATCTGCAGCACCTACTCCTTTCCCACTGTCAGCTGATGAATTTGCCTCACACTTTCAAAGACAAAATAAATGTACGTGAACAAGAACTACCTTGCCTTGTTACCACCAACTCCACCAATCTGTTTCCAAACCCCTATCATCTGTCTCCTTTCTGTTGAAATGGAAGACGTGTCCCTTCTGTCACTGAAGGCCAGTTTCTCCACTTATGCTTTGGATCCTATCCTCAACTGCTTTCTTGAGGATTTCACCCCCTGCAATTAACCTCTCTCTTTTGAGCCACCTATTTTTCCCTTTCTACTGAATCGTTCCTATTGACATACAAAGTTGCCTTAATATCACTCATCCAATGAAAGCTGTCTCTTAATCACATGTCCCATCCAGTGCCAATGTATTTGCTCCCTTTACCAGCAAAACCCCTGGTGTCGTCTATACTCTGTCTCTGTTTCATCACCTCCATTCTTTCGACTCATTCCAACAGGATTTTACCCTCATCGCTCCACGAAAAAAAACCTCTTCTTAATCAAAATAACCATTGAGCTACATCTTGCCAAAGTCAAATTCTCTGCAGTGATAAGTCTGGGACTCACAAGAGCTTATGACACAACTGACTCGCATGGTCTTGAAAAGCTTTCTTCTTTAAGCTTCTTTGACACCACATTTACAATTTTCATCATATCTCAGTGGCTACTCCTCACTCTCCCTCTTTTTCTGTTCTTTTCCAAACCTCTAAATGTAGGAGTGACCCAGAGCTCTGTCCTTGGTCCCTCTTTTCTTCTCTATCTGCGTCCTCTCTGCAGGTGACCTCATCCAATCTTATGGCTTCAAGCACCATCTTTATGCTTGACGTCTTTCATTATGAATTCTCCAGCTCACACCTCTCCGAATTCTAGATTCATGCATCTAATGACTATTCAACATCTCTACTTGGGCATGTAATGGGCGTCTTGATGTGGCCAAAGCAGAACCACTGTCATCCACTTCTGGCTCCCATTTATATCCACCAAATCTGGTCGTCTTCAACACAACCCTTTCGCAGAAAAAGGAAGCACCCTTTACCCGGTTCCTCAAGCCAAAAGTCTAGATGTAAAATCTTGATTCTTCTCTTCCCCCATGTTTCGTATCAGCTCATCAGGAAGTCCTACTGGCTCATCTCTAGATGTATTCTGAATCTGATTTTTCATTCCCTTGCTACGACCCTATTCTAAACCATCATCATCGCTTCCCTTTCACTATTCAATAAACTGCTAAAGGACCTCTGCACACAGACAGGGACAGTCTGGTCTCCAACTACGACAGGCACCATAATAGACTCCCATAGACCACACATTGCCACACACCTCCCCAATCTCTGACACACCACGAAGCCATTTCTGATCCCCACAGCCTTCCAAACCATGGCCTTTCGGGCCACCCCACCCCCACCCCGCCCCCCGCCATCACTGTCATCGCAGATACCTCGAAACACGGATTTCCTTAAACTGTGGCACCCACGGACCGCGCAGGCCCCCCATCACTGCCCCACAGATTCCCCCAGCACGCTGACCACCC